ATGTTTAGAGTGCTAAAAAGGAATACAAATCACTATGGGTAAAATAAGAGTAATTTAAGATGTTGCTTTAAGATGTTAAGAAGTGAAGCTGAATCCTATCATGAGCAAGCCACAAATGCAAATTTAAAATTTAGTATCTCGTGTTATCTAAATAAAAAGTGAGCAACTAATTAAAACAATTCTATAAAAGTGTTTATGGAAATACATAATCCAGCAAAGTTTGTATTTACCTTTCCATCCAGAACAACCTTCTGATTCCCATTTCCACTGGAAAACCCCAAGGAGTTTGTCATTTCCTCTCCATCACTCTCCAGATCCAGCTGTTGTTTAACCATAACGCTCTTTTTAGGGCTTTGGATGCTTTCCTCTCCCTCAGAACTGGCATCCCTGCGGGTCCCGCTCTCCCTGGTGGCACCGTAATTCTTCAGGTACTTCTTGCCCCTGGCACCGTGTTCACGCCCTGAGGCAGAGGAGGAGGAGGAGGACTCTTCTCCCAGAGGCTTCAGGCCCGGGTCAGTGTTCTGCGATTCCAGCTGCTTTTTCCGACTCATGATCTTGCTTTCCAGTTGAGCCACTTTGCTCAGGACTGAGCTGGACCGTGTGTGGGCTCCCTGTGCATTCCCTGCCCTGGCGGTGCTTCCCGGCGTGGGGCACCGCCGGCTCCCCCCGGCCATTCCATCGCGCACCTTCAGGAACCTGCCCTGGCACGACGGGGCTCTCCCGGCCATCTCCAGCTCCGTGTCCACCACCCCGAGCCCGGCCGGGATGGTCCTGCTGTGTCCCTGCCGAGAACCCCAGAATCGCCGAGGTTGGAAAAGCCCTCCCGGATCATCGAGTCCCCCCGTTGCCCGACCCTAACCTTGTCCCCCAGCCCAGAGCGCTGAGTGCCGCGTCCAGTCCTTCCTTGGACACCTCTAGTGGCGGGGACTCCAAACCTCGCTGGGCAGCCCCTTCCAACGCCTGACCACCCTTTCCAGGAAAAAATTCCTCCTGATGTCCAACCTGACCCTTCCCTGGCACAGCTGATTCCTCTTGATTTCTCCCTGGGAGCAGAGCCCGACTCCCCTCCCCAGGTCCACCTTCCTGTCCGGGAGCTGCAGAAAGGGGGTTGTACAGATCCCTCCCCTCACGGCCAAACACGTGCCCAGGAACGGACCGAGCTGAGGCACCGGCGCCTCACCTGCCCTCGGCCCGCGGGGGCCCGAGCGATCGCGGCCATCCCGGACGGGACGGGACGGGGACGGGATAGGATAAGGCGGGATGGGACGGGACGGGATGGGATGAGATGGGATGGATTGGGACGGGACGGAATAGGACGGGGATGGAATGGAACTGGCCGGGCCAGGGCCGGGACCGCCCGGCCTGAGGCGGCGGCGGCTCCTCCAGACCCAGGCCAGAGCGGGCGCCGCGCGGCCGTATCCTAGAGACTGTGACTCCCAAACATCCTGTCCGCTCATTGGCTCCACGCACCCCACCAGCCAATCCCAAGCAGTTTTACTGCCGCCCGCCCCTGACGCGCAGACTACAATTCCCAGCATGCCTCGGGGTCGATAAATCGGGATTTATCCAAACCTCCTGATGTGGGAATTAATCCAGTTGTTCTGCAGGATTTGTGTTAGTACCTGCCTTTTATGTGCTTGTGTGTCATTTCTAGAGACTTGGGGAAGTTTGTCATTTGTGTGTCACCGTGACATTTGGCACTCTATCTAATTACAGAGTTGTAATAAAAGGATAGTTATGCAGCTTGTGCCATGGATTGTTTTTATTTTGTCTGGATATTTTGTTTTCTGGGTTAGTTTTCTAGTACTTTATAGTACTGCAATTCTGCTGCAAGGCAGGTTTTAAGACTTATGTTTAAAATCCTTAAAAACTTTCACTTGCCTTCTTTAAACCCCTAGTTAACAGATATACACAGTTCTGATTGTATACTTTGATTATATGCTTTGATTGTATACTTTGATTATAAGGCCAGATCAGACTTAAGAAGTAAAACCTGATAATGAAATGCATCTGGCAACCTACAAGATGGTTTAGATCCAATTAATGATCCAATAGTGAGGAAACCCCCTGATTGGGATAATTGAATCCAAATTGATGATCCAAAAGACATCAAGCCTGGTGTAATTTACTTTCCTTGTTCTGCATTAGTGGATTATTTAATTTCTACTTGATATAGCTGAACTGGGGTTTTGCTTTCTTAATCTCCCTGTGTCTTTTGAAGAATTGGGATGACCCTGAATCCATGAGGAACCTGAAGTTTGGACTGAAGCTTGGAATGAAGAAGGGCATTATCCTGTTGTAAGACTCCTCTATATATGTATAAATAATTTCCTAACCCTACTAGGGGAACACTTCGAGCCACTTTCTCTGCCTGACTGTATTCAGAACATGTGATTCATCCCAGGGGGAAGGAAACAAGGCACTTTGATAATCTGAGGATGCAAGAAAACAGATTTCCTGGCTTTTTTTCTGGGTGTTTTTTTTCCCCCATATTCCTTCAAAGGAGAGAACTGCTACAATTTTTGGCAACTTCTTGCTAAAAGATGCTGAGGTTTATTCAGAAGACTTTGGAGATGAAAGATGGGAAGAAACGAAGGTAAAATGAAATTCCTGTGGCTGTTTTGGTTCTTTATTCCACGTTTTAAAGATCTCCTGTCTGTTCTGGTTGAGAAACTATTGGGGCATAAAAATGAAATTTTAAACACGGGGTCCTGAAAAAGGAATTGAAGGTAAACCAGACTGAGGAAGAGCAGGAGAGAGAGGGTTACAGGAGAAAATACTCTGAGCAGCAGTTTAAGAAAAAAAACTAGAGAGCAAAGAGGACTCTGGAAGGCACAGAACAGCCAGGAACACTATCAAGGGGGAAGAGCTTTAATTGTTATTTGAAAGAAATTCACATTTTTTTCCACTTACATCACTTTAGGGTTGTGGTATTCTGTTAACAGCTTGTGGAAATCTGCACCAATGGAACTGTATTAAGAAAGGGTTTTTTTTTTTAATGCAACATTAGATTTTGTGACCAGTTTCAGTTATTTTTAGTAGAGATACCATAACATAGTTGAATTCTCTATAGAAAAGGTTGGGGGTGGGTAATTTACTTTTAAAATCAGTTTTATTAACTTTTAATAATTTTTATTTAATCTTAACACTGCTAAAATGTATTAAAAACACCAGGTTTTGGAACTGTTCTACACTTCCATGGTTTAGTGTTAAATGTTAAATTAAGGCTCATTTTTGAGGAAATACCACCACAGTTTCAATAAAGGGTTCAGACTCAGCAGCATGTCTCACAACACACTTGAAACCAAGCAGGAGATAAGCTTTGCTAAGCTCCTGTAGCAATTGTGCACCTGTCAGAGTTTCAGAGCTTAGATCTGCCAGTGGAACATTCCAGCTCTGCCTTGGTGTGTGTGACAGCAGCCTGTCCAGCCACAGATCTGCCCTTAGAAGTTTAAATGTTTTCAGATGAGGTTTTTTCCCTTTCAAAGTTCTGAAATGGACACACAGAGTGCCTACATGCTGTCTTACATATTATTTTTTTTTTAATGGGGCAGGAGAAATTAATTGGAAACAATGAATGATGTGCCTGTTCTTCTGTCTGACCTGTCTTGGACCTCAACCTTGTAATTTTTTCAGTCACTTCCTTCATCCCTTCTCAGTTCCTTCTGCTCTTCTGCATTTCCTTCCTCCCCCAAGAACTAATGCTGCAAATTTAGCAAAAACTGAAGGCAAACTTGAGAGCCCAGGGCCCTGCATTTACCTCTAGACACTGGCTGAGGGAGTTCTGTGTGGTGAGGAGAGAGGGAGTAGGAGGATCCCTGGAAGCCCCAGCTCCAGCTGGGCCACTTTGTAGCCTGTGCAGTGACTGAGGTCAAATTCTTCTGCTTCTGCTTGTCCAAGAGCTGTAAAACAATTCCAGTTAAGAACTTTGAAAGCTGAGATACACTGCAACAACACCCACCCTATACCTTTTTTTTTCCCAAAAGAATTCCTGTAGATTTAGTTTTTGTGTGGCCACTGTGATCCACAGTGATCAGGCTGCTGTTCAGGATTCACACACTGCACTCAGGGGTTTGTTAACTTTGGTGTATTTGATGCCAAAACATTTGATCCTAGGCCAGAAGAAGCTTCATTGGGTGAAAGGACCTTCACTGAGTGAAGGACTTTTGTTGGGTGAAGGCTGCTTTGACAAGTTTTAGGGTAATGAAGTAACATAAGTGGGTTTGCCCAGGAGAAAGCTGGATGTGGGTCATCCAGGTAAAGGTCGATCAGTGCCTTGGATAGAAGGACATTCCAAGGGCACCCACAGCCCTCCCTGGCCCTGCTTTGTCCACATGGCTGGGGCAGCTGGCAGAGTGCCCTGGGAGTGGAGACATTAGGAGGAATTTCTTCACAGAAAGGGTGATTAGACACTGAAATGGACTGTATAAATATCTAAAGATTGGTGTCAGAGGATGGACGAGGCTCTGCTCTGTGGTGCTGAGCAATAAGACAAGACTCAGTGCGCAGAAACTGATGCCCGGGGAGTTCCACCTGAACACGGGGAAGAACCTCTGAACTGTGCACTGGAATTGATTGCCCAGAGACTGTGTGGAGTCTCCCTCACTGGAGATATTCCAAAGGACAACAACCCTATGCCGTGCGGTCAGGGATGGGCACGACGATGGGATCAAGTGGTCCCTTCCAACCTGCCCCATCCTGTGACTCAGTGATCCCGTGAGTGCCCAGGCAGGTTTGCACTCACCGTCCCTGGAGGTGCCCAAGGAACGCCCGGACGTGGCACGCAGTGACAGAAGTGCCAGGGAGCGTCACTCCCCGACAAGGCGGCGATCGCCCGCAGGTCGGACCTGCGATGACCTCAGCGGCCGTTCCCAACCCGACCGATCCCGTGGGCGGGAAGCGCCTGCCGGGCCGCGATAACGGACCCCGCTGAAGCCGCGGCGGGTCCCGGCTCCCCCTCAGCCGCCGCCGCCCCGGGGCCGCCCGGCCCGGCCCGGCCGAGCCACCGCCTCCCGCCCCTCGCCCCGCCCCGGCCGCGGCCCGACCCAGCGGGAGGAAGATGGCGGCGCTCATCCCCCTCAGCCAGCAGGTACCGGCCCGCGGCGCGGCGGCGGCACCCGCGGCCCTCAGCTCAGCCCCGCCGGGCGGCCGAGGGGAGCGGCGCCGGGTCCTGCCCGCGGGCGAGGCGGCCGGGCCGGGCCGCCGCTGGGCGCAGGGCCCTGTGCCCGGGAGGGGCTCGGCCTGAGGGGGGAGAGAGGGTCGGGGCGCGGCGGGGAGCGGGACCCGGGCGGGGTGGGGCGGGCGAGCGGCCCCCGCGGTGTCCCCGGGGCTCGGCAGGGCCGGGCTGGGGGGAAGCGAAGGCGTTCTCCCCTCATGGAGGGCCTGGAGCTGCGCCCGTGGGGAGGGGAGGGGAAAGGAGGGAACGGGGGGCTCCGGGCGTTCCCCCTCGCCGAGGTGCCGCCCGGGAGCCGCGGGGGTTATTGAGGGCCGGGGATCCGGGGATGGGGCTCCGACCTGGGGCGAGTCACCCCCTTGTCCTGCTGGTACCCTGAGCTGCCGGGCTGTCGTGACTCGGTGTCGTGACAGGGTGTCGTGACTGACAGGCTGTCGGGATGTTTGGGAGCGCGGGGACCCCGGGAAGGGGCTGCGGGGCGAGCGGGAGGCGTTTGCTCGCCCTGTTTGTGCCAGGTCAGGACCAGGCACATTCCCTGACCCTTGGGAGAGGGTGACAAGGCTCTGGGAGAGGCTCTTTCCAGCTCTCTTTGGATGCTTGGGGTCCCCGCGCTGATTTTTGTTGTTACAAGTTTTTTTGGTGTGTTTTCTTTTTTTTTTTTTTTTTTTTTTTTTTTTTTTTTTTTTTTTAGTCTGTTTGGTTTTTTAAAATTAATTTCTCACCCAAATAATTCCAGCCGAAGCAATGTGATCGCTGTTTATTCTTTGCCATACCCCTGGGAATAGAGTTGGTTTACTTATTTCCTTTTTCAAGCAATGCCACCCTCAATGCCTTGAAATTAAAACTATTTTCTACGCTGTGCCAGGCCAGTCAGGAATTCAGAACAGCTGCCCTTAGTAGTTCAGATTATTTAAATACATCAATTTCCTTTTAATAATGACCTTTTATTTGAGATACTTTGAAAATTTCTCTCTCAGTGGAGTAATGTGATGCTTGGATAATGTATAATTTGCTGTGAGTCTTACTAAGAGTGGGCACTGCTTTTGAGCTTCTGAATAGCAGGAGTCCTGATGAACATCTGCTTAATTAAATGAACCTGTTCAGAAACATCTGAAAACATCTATGCACACACAAACCGCTATCAGAAGTTTCCAAGTGGCATAATGTGGTGCAAAATATGTAAGTAAAATAAACTCTGAATGTGCATTTTTAATAGTACATTGGTAAAAAATGAAATCATTATCAAATATTTACACTGAAAATTCAGTTTCTGTGTTGTTTAAATTCTTGTCGATATTTGAGGGTCTGGCATCAGTGGTGTTTCCTTTGATATAACCTGTCATGTTTAGGGTGAAAAGGGCCACATTCTGTGAACATATCAGTTATTTTGACATTATTTTCCAGTGAATTCAATGGAAGCATTCTAATTTTAAACTTCTTTTTCTGTATTGAACTGTCAAAAGTAGTCTAGCTGTTACAGGGCAGTAAACAGAATTTCCCTTAATGAACCAAAAGAGGAAATTAATAAACTTCCTCTTTGAATAGCCTCAGTTTGTGATTACTAAGGAGATGTGTGCTGGTTACTGTAAATGCCAGAAATTGAATTAGAAGGAATAGGAGAGGGCACGTGTGCTGTATGTTGAAGTATGTAAAATAAGACTATTGATTTCAGCATGTTGGGAGCTATAAACAGTATGGGTAATTCAAGCTTGTGAAAGTGTTTAATCATATTTTGTCATTAATAATTTATCATATTATCATTTTAGGAAGAAATTCTTTACTTTAAGAAGGAATTCTTGGCTGTGAGGGTGGGGGGGCCCTGGCACAGGTTGCCCTGAGAAGCTGTGGCTGCCCCATCCCTGGGAGTGTCCAAGGTCAGGTTGGAGCACCCTGGGCTAGTGGAAGGTGTCCCTGCCCATGGCAGGGGGTGGGACTGGATGAACTTTAAGGTCCCTCCCAACCCAAACCATTCTGGGGTTCTACACTATTTATATACTATTTAATGTTTCATCTCTCTGGCTGTGCATAAACCCAGTTGAAGAGCAAGCCTGTCAGATCAGTTCTTGCAGTTCAGTCCAGTTCCAGTTGTTTATGTTTGATAACTTTGTTTTCTTACATTTGCTCACCTTACCAGTGGTCTTTCCACTGTGCCAAGCACGTTCAACTTGCAGGCTCAGGAGGTTTTGGAGAGTTATCTTAGAGATATTGAGATCCTTTTGTAGCTCAAGTTTTCTGAGACAACTCAGGACATTCAGCAAGTAGCATAAGGGCAAAAGTCATCTTTTTGGGGCAGCAGCAGCAGCCTTCTTTGGGCTCTTGTCTTTGTGAACACCTTTTTTTTTCCCCTTTTACACTCCCTGTTTTCATCTCTCCGTGTGGCTGAAAGAAAATTTTTGAAGAGGTAGACACCAAGGAAAATAATTCATCTGATCCAGAGCTCTTTGTGGCCCTGGGATGACCTCAGGAAAGAGAACTGGATGTGTGAATTGTTCTGGTGGCAGCAGCTTCCCCAGAGCTGCAGGAAGGGACTTGGATCACTGTCCACGTGTGTACCACAAATGCAGTGTGTGGATCTGCTGTGAGACTTAAACTTTAGATTTGGGAGGTCAAACAACAGGGCAGCAGGGCTCTGAAGGATCTTTTTGGGAGCTGGTGTAAAGTGTTGGTCAGAGATGAGGTTTTGGGGACTACGGAGCAGGCACGGGAACCACGGGGTGGTTAAACTGTAAGTCAGACTGAACCTCTCTGACAGGTTGTGCTTTGACATCACCAACTGCAAACTCTTCACAGTGTTTGTCTCTGGTTGCCAGGGCTGACAGCCTTGGGCAGGTCCTGCATCAGCAGATGTCACCAAATTGCAGAATCCTCCTGAATGATAGTGGTGTCGTCACGTGTGGTGACGGGTAGATAGAGAGCTGTGCTATTTTTATCACTTGAACCCATTTTGTCTGGTCTGCTCCATCACAGAGGTGCAGTCATTTGGGTAAATCAGCCAGAGAGGCTGAACCCTTGGAAAATTCTGCAAACAGGGAATCGGGGGCTGAAGGGCTTTCCAGCAGCACTTGGGGGAATATTTTCCTGTTGGAGAAACTTCACAGCATGGAAGCCCATCACCCTGGATTCCTGCCACCTCTGGCAGGTAACTCAGCTCCATGTCATGGCTGACAATCCCAAATGAGGGTGACAGGGAGGCCTGGTGATGGGATGAGATCATTCAGTGCTGCTGCTGGAGTAGTTTGCTCTGTCTCTTGGTACAAATCCAGTCTCTGCACACTCTGGGTTACTTGTCAAGTCAGCTAGAGGAGCTTGTAGTTGGTGTTTGACCCTCTTCTCTGAGCTCTCTGATAAACAAGAGGTACAAAGTTTGGTGATAGTTGGCTAAAACATGCTGGGTTGGATTCAGACTGGGACAGACTATTTCCTACTTCCACCTTTTCTCTGAATGATGTGTTTCCTGCTTGGACAGGAGCAAAGTGCTTAGCTGGGCTGGATGTTTACATGTCAGCAGAAAGAATAGTCAGATTTATGAGTTATGGTCCAGGCATTCTTCTGAAATCCTGTCCACCTTCAGGAAGAGCTGGAGCTTCCAGAGGTTTGCTGACATTACAGAATGCAGCAGCTTATTTTGTGGATGGGTAGAAGTGAAGCACATTTAAGATACTTAGGAAACCGTTCTGAAAATGCAGGATTTTTCTATCCAAATAGAGCTGTTAATCCTCAAAGAGTCAGTGTTTGCTTGTGCTCAGTTGGAGGGTTTAGTTATTTCAGGTAGCTCCTTACACTGATATTTGTCATGTTTATTGTAAATTCACAGCAAGGTTCTCTTGGTGTCAAATAAAATTTTATTGGGCTTTTCTTTCATCGTGTTTCTGCCTTGCTTCCACTCAGAGTGGGCAGAACATCTGGAAAATCATAGGGATGACAAGGAAGCAGGTGGCATTTGGGAGGTGATGGGAATTAGTGGGAAATACTCCTTTGTCAGGTGTCTGACTGGTGGCCTGGAGGTGCAGAGTGGTTGTCTCAGGCAGGCTTTGGGGTGTTGTGACATCTCAGCAATTTGCTTATTAAACTGTTTATGGGGTGGTTGTTTTGTTGATTGTTCTTTAAGGCCTTTAACTTGTTTTTGCCCGGGTTGGTTTTGCTGTTGGCATCGAGGCTGGAGAACAGTGTGGAGGGATAATCTGCGTGTGAACTCCTGGGGCTGTTGGAGGAGGAATTGAGAAGATGGGTTTGGGGGATTCTGCCTCTTTTGGCATTTCAATTCCCATCTGCTTGGAATGTCAGCAAGAATGTCAACAATCTACTTGTTCAGCCCCCTGGAAAGGCAGGGCCTCCCTTGGGTCTGCTACTCTGGTGTGATGTGGTTTGAAGTCCCCCAACAGCGTTGTCAGGGAATTGTGGCGTTGTCGGTTCACTCTTCATTCTGTTTATTTTTTGTTTTACTCCGTTTCAGTTTAAGATCCTAGTCCTGAAAAGGCATAATCACAGGCACAGGGCTGTGTGTGTGTGTGTGTAATTGCCTGCTGAAAACATTCCATAAGGATATTTACAGTGCAGGGGGGACTCAGGGCAGCATCGGGTTCAAAACTGAGCCTTTGTTATCAGCAGTTCTCATACTGAGATCTGAAATACTTTGGCAAATAGTTCAGAGCTGTTCTACAAAAACCTTATTTCCATGTAGCTGTTGATTAAAAGTGTGAGGAGAAGTTGGAATGCTGGTCAAGGAGAAGTCCTAGGGGGTGACAGGAGCCTGTTGGCTGCAGGTTTTGTGGGATCACCATTATCCACACTTAAATTTCAGGTATCTGGTTTGGATGACAGCAAACTAACACCCTATTTTAGATTTTTTTGTTGAAGGAATACACAAAGTGCAATACTTTTTCTCCTCTCAATTGTGATTGCTGTTCATTCTGGTTTCTTCCTTACGTTTCAGTTTTCTACTGGGAACCCAATATACGAAACTTACTACAAACAGGTACGTTCTTAAAAGAAGAAAAGCAAAAATAAAGTGCAGTTTCCTCTTCCCCAAGATTTTCCTCTCTTTCCTTTCCCCATTGCAGTGCTAAATTCTTCCTGCTGATGCAGTTTGTGTAACTCCTCCTGACCTAGAGACACTGCATTTCTCATCTCTGCTTTCACAGGTCATGCTTCAGTTAAATGTTAATTTTTCTCTTTCAGGTAGATCCAACATACACAGGGAGAGTTGGGGCAAGTGAAGCTGCTCTGTTTCTTAAAAAATCTGGTCTCTCTGATATCATCCTTGGAAAAGTAAGTTGAAGGAATTGGATAATGCAATAATTGTCTGTACACCTTTTTAAGCGAAAGGACAAATCTACAAGGAAAAATTATCTTTTGTGTAACGTTTCTGTTGTTAACTTGACAGTGAAATAACATTGTGTCATAACTTGAAAGCTGAATGAACATTTCAAGAAGACACACAGTATGAACTGTGGAGCTGAGTTTTATTTTAAATTCACAATGGCTTTTGTTTTGTATCTCCCCAGATATGGGATTTGGCTGACCCAGAGGGGAAAGGATACTTAGATAAACAGGTAAATGAAATGTTCCTGTAGACCTGCCGTGTTACCTCTCACAGATTAGCCTTGTTTCAAGCAAACCCTGATACCAATAATAGTTATCCTTGGCTTTTTTTGAGTTGAGTTTTTGTTGACAAGATGAGTTTTTTCCCCAGCACTTCTCATATCTAAGTGATTTACTCAGTGAGGCTGCTGGGGAAGTTTGGATCTCATTTTCTGTCTCTCTTTTGTTTTGTAAAGAATCAGTGTCTATGATATGTAGATGCACAGTCACCGAGTCACAAATACAAAATACGATTTTAGGATTTATTTTAGAAGAACGTTCTTGCATGTAAAAATCTGACCAGCATTACTAAAAATGGCTTGGAATATCAAATAGCAAGTTACTTGTAGATATTGATAAATTTTTTTTAAACATTATTAATTTTTAAGAACGTTGAAGTTCAGTTATGGGGGAGAACCCTTTGTAAAAATGAACTTCCAATTTTCTGCTCTTATTGCAAAATTTCTCACAACTCCCCTTTAAAAGCAGTGGGGTAGTTGTCACTGTGGGGCTGCCCACCCACGATTTACTGAGTTGCACGTGTGCAGTGCTAATAAAAGTCACAAAAGGGTCGTTTTCCCTGCCCTGGACTGGTTTGAAACGGGTTCTTTGCAGGGTTTCTACGTCGCTCTGCGCCTCGTGGCCTGCGCCCAGAACGGCCACGACGTCAACATGAGCAGCCTCAACTTGACTGTGCCACCTCCTAAATTCGTGAGTAGTATCCACCCAAATGTGTGGGTGTGTTATATGGGAACTAAGGCTTCAGTTGGAACACTGGAATAATCTGCTGTGGTGGTTCTGGGGCTGCAGGCTGATGGCAAAGTGTTCCTTAGGACACTGCCCCAGTCCTGTTGTCCTCAGTGGGTTTTGCAAGTTTAACTCTGCTCAGCTTGGGCAGGAAGCTGGTGTGGCTAAACTCTAAAAAAAAAGGAAGAAAATAAAGTTATTTTGGGGCTGGGTCAGCAGGATGGGCAGAAAAAGGCACAGCTGCAGCTTTGCCTGCAGTAGCTGCTGCAGAACCTCTTTGTTGTGTGTTTGGGTATCTAATGCACCAATAAATGTCCTCATCCAAGTGCTGTAATAGTATAAATGAGTGTGACTTTTATTTAGGTACAGCCTCTTTCTCTCAGTGTAGTTGAGCTTCCTGTCTATAACCACCTCTTAAAACAATTAGTAAGGATTAGAGACAGAAATCTGTGTATTTATATATATGAATATACATATAAATAAAATTCTCCATTTTTTTAGCATGACAGTAGCAGCCCTTTGCTGATCACACCACCTTCAACAGAGACTCACTGGGCTGTCAGGGTAAGTGTAAAAGCCAACACATTACATCCATTCTTTAAAAGTGAATCTTTTCCTCGTGTGTAATTTTCTCTCAGTGAGAGAATTTTGTATCCAGTGTCTTTCCTGTTTCAAAAATCCCCCCTTTCTGTGCAGGCTTGTGCACAATAGAGAATACTGAGGTGTAGTTTTACATGTGTAATAAGTATTAAACCACCCTTTGACAACCCCAGCTGGGATGTTTTTAAGACACAATGAATTTTAATCTTCTGCCTGGATTTCTTCCAGAATCCTACAATTAGGCACTTTCATTGTTTGTATAAAGGAACCCCACTGAGAACAGCAAAGTATTTCAGCAAATCCATCCTGAATTATTAATTTAAAGCTCGAGTTCCTATATTCTAGTTACTATTCAGTGTTCCTTTTTTTTCCCCCAATGATATATATTACATGTAACCTTTGATGCATATATGTGGGTGTTTGTGTTTAGTTAATTTTCAAATGCAAACGTTTCCAAAAGGTAGAAATTTAATAAAATAACTTGTAATGCTGATTATTTTTTTTTGTACTCGTGTTGTACTTCAAAGTGGGAAGAAGAGATTTTAGTTCCCCAGAGTTTATCAAAGTTTCTTTAAAACAGAAACACATCTTGACTGCTGCATGGTAAAATCTCTCATGGAAGGTTATAAAATAACCTTAGCTTTGAAATTAGGCTCTTAAATGTCTCTCCAGGGGTTTACATTGAAATTCAGCACCGTGGCACTTGCAAGAAAGTTTGGAAATTTAGGATGAACACATCACTGACCAGCCTTAATTTCTTGCAAGATCTCATTCTCAACACTCACACAGGCACACTTTTTTACTTATTCAGACTATTTCTTACCAACTAGGTGGAAGAAAAAGCAAAGTTTGATGGTATTTTTGAAAGCCTTTTGCCAGTAAATGGTTTACTTTCAGGAGACAAAGTAAAACCAGTACTGATGAATTCAAAGCTACCTCTTGATATCCTCGGCAGGGTAAGTGTGCTGTTTAAATTAACTTCTCATAGTTTGCAGTGTGAAATATTTGTATGTAATTTATCAACACAGATCAGGTTTTGGCTGAGATTCTGCATTGATTGCATGCTATCAAGCAAGAACATTAAGTCTCTGCAGTCTTCCACTTAGAAATAAGAATAGTAGTAGTAATTTCAGCCCTGGAGTAGATTGGCTTAATTATCTCTCTGTTCATTTTAAGAGCTGGAAATTTTGATTTTGGTTGTTTAAAAGCAAGAAGAAGCTTTTCTAAACTTTTATAATATTAGCTTTTATAACATTATATTCCACTGTTTTGTCATTTTTACAAATAGGGGTTATTAGACATCCCATTAAATCCATCCACTGTTGGGTACAGGAGGACACCTCAGAACATCCTCATTTATTGTACCCAGCAAATTGTCAAGTTGTTTTTTTTTTCCAAGATCTGATTTTAGTGCATCCATTGCATATTTGCCAGGGAAGCAAACCTGAAAGCATTTTTCTGCTCCCATTTAAAACACATTCTTTAATGCTTTGCATATTTATATGCCTGGGAATGAATTCATTCTGTGTAAGAGCTGGATCTGTGTTACATCCTTGTATCTCTTCAGGAAGAACTGCCTCTTTCTCTGTATTATCTACAAAATCTAAGTATGACTTGTTTTAATTCTGTACTGGAATATTGTGAAGCACTGAGTCTTGAAAGGCTTTGGGTTTCTTCTTGTTATTGTCACAGTAGAAATTCAGGAAGCTTTTGCCTCCTCTAGAAAAGTTTGTGGACAAGATAAAGGACTGAGGAAATGGGCAAAGGACTAATCAAGGAGCTTAAATTTGTGCAGTGATAAAGTGGAGTTCAGACAATTGAGCCTTAGGCTTGGCTTTCTGTGCCCTCTGCTGTCCCAGGTTATATTGATGGTTTAACTAGTTGGTAGCTGAGTGTTGGAGTCCACAAAGTTTTGTATCCCTCTAAATCTTGTCCAAGTTTCATTGAGTTTACCTGACCTAAGAATGAAGTGAAGTTGAGAAACACTTAAATTCTCTCCCATAGAAAATTCAGGGGGCCAGAGGGAGCTGCACATGGTTTTAGTTATCAGTAAAAAAACTAGGAATGGGATGGGAATTAGAAATGGATTGGGTTTTCTAAAATATTTTAACTTTCTTACAAGACGTTTGGATGATCTGCTAACCCCACATCCTCTGGACAGTTCTGGAAACCGCCTCTGAATGCTTTTACTCAGCTTGATGACTCCTTAATTGCACCACAGAAAGATGAAAAACCTGCCTGTGTTGCAGCCAGAATTTGTTAGAGCCAGCGTTGATTCACACTGGCCAGGAAACTCTAATCCAGTCTGTTTCATCAGAGAGTGTTTAGATAGTTTAATGTAATTAATATGATCTTCTCCAAAACCTATTAAGAGTCTTTAGAGGGCATGTTAATTTGATGAATGCACAAAATGTAACTTGCTCTCTAAATCATGTCTTTATCTTAATTGCTGCAGGTCTGGGATCTCAGTGATATTGATAAAGATGGTCACCTGGACAAGGATGAATTTGCTGTGGTAGGTTGTTTTAAATTCTCAATTCACAGCCCAGTCTGTCTGGCAGAGCAAACAGCTCTTTTTTTTTTTCTCAAGAGCTTTGCAGCTTTCTCTGCTACAGTTCACTGTTCTAATCTGCCTTGTTCACACAGAGCTATTAAATGATCTTCCTCAAATCCACCCACTGACTCTTGCCTATGTCACCAAGATTAAACTTGTTGGAATTACATCCAAAACGATCTGCTCTGCTTTACATCTCTAATCTTACAGCCTTTGTTTTACTATTATGTAAATGACTGACACTGGAAGATCTCGTTGCTTTTTTTCCCTGCTAATTGTGGATGTTATCTGACCTTTTTGCCTTTGCAGGCAATGCATTTGGTTTATAGAGCTCTTGAGAAAGAGTCAGTCCCTTCACAATTGCCCCCTTCTCTCATACCACCTTCTAAAAGAAAGAAGATGCCCGTGTTCCCCGGAGCAGTTCCTGTTCTCCCTGCAAGCCCCCCCCCCAAGGACAGCCTCCGTTCCACCCCCTCCCACGGCAGTGTCAACAGCCTGAACAGCACGGGGAGCCTGTCCCCCAAGCACAGCATCAAACAAGCACAGGTACTCACCTGCCTTGCTTTCTTTGGGTCAGGAAGCTGCAGGAAAACACAAACCTGCTCTTTGATTTCTGCCCCGTGTGAGCGCTTGGGTTTGGGGGATTTGGGGGGGGTGGGGGTGAAATTTAATAGCAAATTTAAGGAATTTAATGCCAACGAATAATATGAAAGGAATTTAGTACCAAAGAAATCATTGGTCAGGCTTGGAAGAATGGAATACCAAAGAAATTTAATTCCCAATTTAAGGAATTTAATGCTAATGAATAATATAAAAGGAAATTTAATAGCAAAGAAATCATTGGTCAGGCTTGGAAGAATGGAATGCCAAAGAAATTTAATTCCCAATTTAAGGAATTTAGTACCAAAGAAATCATTGGTCAGGCTTGGAAGAATGGAATGCCAAAGAAATTTAATACCAAATTTAAGGAATTTAATGCCAGTGAATAATATAAAAGGAAATTTAATAGCAAAGAAATCACTGGTCAGGCTTGGAAGAATGGAATACCAAAGAAATTTAATACCAAATTTAAGGAATTTAATGCCAATGAATAATAGAAAAGGAATTTAGTACCAAAGAAGTCATTGGTCAGGCTTGGAAGAATGGAATGCCAAAGAAATTTAATTCCCAGTTTAAGGAATTTAATACCAAAGAAATTATTGGTCAGGCTTGGAAGAATGGAATGCCAAAGAAATTTAATTCCCAATTTAAGGAATTTAATGCTAATGAATAATAGAAAAGGAAATTTAATACCAAAGAAATCATTGGTCAGGCTTGAAAGAATGGAATGCCAAAGAAATTTAATTCCCAGTTTAAGGAATTTAATGCCAACAAATAATATGAAAGGAATTTAGTACCAAAGAAGTCATTGGTCAGGCTTGGAAGAATGGAATACCAAAGAAATTTAATACCAAATTTAAGGAATTTAATGCCAACAAATAATATAAAAAGGAATTTAGTACCAAAGAAATCATTGGTCAGACTTGGAAGAATGGAATACTAAATTTAAGGGATTTAATGCCAACGAATAATAGAAAAGGAAATTTAATACCAAAGAAATCATTGGTCAGGCTTGGAACAATGGAGTACCAAATTTAAGGAATTTAATGCCAACAAATAATATAAAGGGAATTTAATTCCAAAGAAATCTCTGGTCAGGGTTGGATGAATGGAATACCAAAGAAATTTAATTCCTAATTTAAGGAATTTAATGCCAAAGAAACCATTAATCAGACTTGGAAGAACAGAAGAAGAACAAGTGAATTGTAATCAGAGTGACCATGGGGTGGCAAATCTTAGGGGGGAATTTTCACTTTACACAGAAAGTGAGACCATGGAAAGGTTTTACTCATGTCTCTAATACCAAAGAAGTCATTAATCTACCTTCTAAATCTCCTGTTGTTAGCATGAAGACTTAATATGCCTAGTTGGATCTGTATTTCCAAAGAGTTAATGCTGTTCAGCTGATGAAGAGCTGTTTATCAGTGTTTTATTCAGATAAAGGGTACAAAATTAAAGCATGCAGTGAAAATAGTTATTTCCCAGTCAGACTGGCTTGTGCAGGATGTTCAGCACATCCAGCTCTGGGTGCTGTGTCTGCTCAGTGTGTTGATAATAAAGGCTGGTTTTCTGCTTTTGAAATGTCCCCCTTTGCTTTGCAGCCAGCTGTGAACTGGGTGGTCCCAGTGGCTGAAAAAGTGAGATACGATGAGATTTTCTTAAAAACGGACACAGACATGGATGGGTTTGTGAGTGGCCAAGAAGTAAAGGACATTTTTATGCATTCAGGTCTGTCTCAGAATCTCCTAGCACATATATGGTAAGAATTCCCTAGCAGGTGTATTTTTGTAATTATTTATCCAGCCAGAATTGTGGTCCTAACATTAAAAAAAAAAAACCAGAAACAAACCAAAAACCCAACCTCTTCCACATGTCCTGTTACCACACTGCAATATGTGGAAAATTGAGGGAGAAATAAACACTCCCTTTGCTTTTCTGGGAGGGGGGGAAATAGGTCAGACTGTGATTGTCTTTTGAAGTTCTACTGCTTTAAATATTTTCTCAGAGCAACACTGCTCCATTCAGTTAAACATGTCTAATAAAATCCTGCTCTGTTTATGGAATTCTCACTAGAATAAGCAAGCTCTGCTGAGGATGAATCAAAAGGAAATTACATGTATATGTGTACTTGGGGCTTTTTGGTAGAGGAGAAATAAGATTTTTTTTTGTTTATAAGGGTGATCTGTTTTTTTTTTTACCAGGGCTTTGGCAGACACGAGGCAGATGGGGAAGCTCAGCAAAGACCAGTTTGCACTTGCCATGTATCTCATTCAACAGAAGGTCAGCAAAGGGATTGATCCTCCCCAGGTGTTATCCCCAGATATGATCCCTCCCACAGAGAGGAACACTCCCATCCAGGTAAGTCAGTGATTATTTGTGGATAACACTGAATTTACGTGCTTTGAAATGGGTTTTAAATAGGAATTTTGTACTTTTTTTTTAAAAATATCTCGGTAAAGAATTGCCAATATTTTTTTTCTTACCTCCCCTTACAAATTTCTTTAACATTTGAAAATAAATGTAAATTTCTAACAACTAAGACCGTGAGTAAAGAAAAATGCAGTAAAATATTCCATAAAATAAACTATTCCATGAAAGGAGTCACAATGGTGAAAAAAGTCTAGCATGAAAAATACTCCTTTGCCATAGAGGAGTTTTTTTCTTAATTTTTAAAATTTTTAAAAATATTTTTATTTTAACAATATATAAATTATAATATAGATGTATATATTTATATATTATCTCTCTCTATAATTTTAACTTTAGGGAACTCATAACAGAAAATATTAAAGGCTGGTTGAGTATCCTGTCCCTGACTGTGATCAGCACCAAATTCCTCTGTAGAAATGTCAGATTTTTTAATGGCTAACGAAGGGTGATGACTTCCTAGTTTCTGGGATTCATCCCTTGAATCATGCCAGTCCACAGTCCTGCATCCATCTCTGCTAACACCACTTGACAGGAGCATCTGAGCCTTTGCTAAACTTTGCTCAACTTTGCTTTATTCCTTTTTTCCACACTGTATTTCTGAAAATGAGGTGAATAACCCCTCTGTCCTGTCAATACCTTCCTCTTTTCTATAAACTACCCTGTATTTTTCTTTACTTTTTCTTTTTTTTTTTTTTTGCTTTCCCTAACCAGAAACCCTTTGGAGCTCTAAATAACTTAATTGTTGCTGTTGCTGTGGTCCTTTTAAGGTTTCTCCTGTGTCCTTTTCCTGTAGACTCTGTCAGGTTACTTGACCCCTGTAGGAACTGAGATCTCAGCCCTCTCAGAGATGCGGCGTGTGAGTAACTTGTCACATCCAAAGGAATGCCCCCGGGTTTTTTTTTGTGTCTGATGCTGCTGACTTCAAAACCTGGTTTTATTTCTCCCCCTTTGCCTGTCTGTGCTCTTGAATTCTCTGCCACTTGCCCTTGGCATGATGGGATGTCACAGCAGTGTGAAGGGCCCAGCACTGCCTGCTGACCTGGTGATATTTATTCCCTCAACAATTGCTCTGCCAGGAAGTTTCTGGGACAGGAACAGTTGAAGTTACTCATGGATTAGTTCTCTGAAATTTTGAGCAGTAAACACATCTTTAAGCTTCCCATTATTTCCAACTAATTCTAATTTTTTTCCACCTAATGTGCATTTAGCTGAGCATAACATGAAATAAACTGAGCTTTATTTAGTTGAGCATAACATGAAATAATCTGAGCTTTGTTTAGTTGAGCATAACATGAAATAATCTGAGCTTCGTGAGCTCAGTTGAGTGGTTCTTATCCTAAGCAAAGCAGCAGCTCATTTTAACTTCTTTCATAGTCATGTTGGGTGACACCTTCCTGTGACCCTGTCCAGCGTTCAGTGCAGGTCTCTCAGCAAATCTCTATCTGGCTTGACAAAATCAAAGTGATATTAGAAGCTTTTGAGTTGCTACCTTGAAGAATTAGCCTGGATTATTTTTATTTATGATGACATAATGGCATGTTACAAAAGAAATGATCACCCAAAATGAGGACTTAATTAAATTAAATTAAATTAAATTATTTAAACTGTATACTCACCTGTTGTTTCTACAAAAATGTCACCTTTTAGTCTGCTGATTTTGATTTATTGATTAGGTTCTTGTTTAGTTTTTTATGTTTAATAAAGCCAAGCTTTCTGTGGTTATCACAGCAACCTCAAAGTGAGCGAAGCAAACAAACTGTACTTTCTTCTTTTTAAAATGCTATTTAAAAATTGTAGGTCTCCTGTTTTTTCATGCTAACAGGGAGTTCATTGCTGCAGGTTTTACTCCATTGCAGTGGGTTTTCTCAGAGCAGTCCTTTTTATAGTAATAACCAATTTTGTACCCAGTGCTGAGATCCTTTCTTAATAACTTCTGATAGTCTTATCTAAAAGACAAGGGGTGCCCTCTGCATCTTCCCTGATCTGCCCCTGAATGGGTGCAGAAATGACCTGAATAATTGCAGAACTTGCCATGAATTTGTGGCAGGGCTCAAGAAGACTGAAATTACAATCTGCTGTCCTTGAGTTCCCTGGAAACTTTACTATTGACTGTAACAGAGCTGGGGTTTAGGTTTTGAATTTTAATTTGAATTCCCCCCTAGCCTGCAGTTTATTTGTTCCCACTGTGCATGTCCTCTCACTGCTGTGTGTGTCCCAACTCTCCTGTCTGTTAAACAAGCAGAGAGACAATTCTCCTGTCCCTCAGGTGGAATTGCTTGGCATGTTGCTGCTTGTTGCACAATAATTTGATGTGTCTCACAGCACTTTGCAAAATCATATAATGAGGATTTCATATCCCACCTCTGTCCTCAGCCTTTGGAAAGGAAGAGCTTCTGCTACCACCCAACATTTTAATTGACTGTTTCATTCTTAACAGGACAGTGCAAGTTCTGTTGGATCAGGAGAATTCACAGGAGTGAAGGAGCTGGATGATATTAGCCAAGAAATCACTCAGCTGCAGAGGTGAAGTTGAGGATTGTTAACAAAATCTTGAACAATAACCAAACAAGTCCATAGTACTGATGTATCAGTTACTTTTGTTTTCTTTTAGCCATTTTAGAATTTTATTTGTCACTGGAACTGGTGACAAATCTCCCACTGATATCTTACAGTTATGCAAAGCCAGCCTGGATTCTACCAGGTGACTTCAGGACATTGATTATGGCCACAGATACTATTTTTCAAAGAATAATTGATACATAATTGATACATATAAACCTTTACTCCTTTAAAAAAATAGATGAGAATATGTGCTGGCTTTTTTAGCTACGTGGTGTTTCCAGAATAATATTTAATTGGTTTTTGTGTGTGTTGTGTTATTTAACTAATAATAAATACATGTGCTTGTTTATCTGGCAGAGAAAAGTATTCACTAGAGCAGGACATTAGGGAAAAGGAAGAATCAATCAGACAGAAAACCAACGAAGTTCAGGTAAAATCTTCTGTTTATCCTTAGCAGCTTTCATTTTAATCCAAATAATATATGGGAATTAAGCATTTTTCATGTGTTTATGTTGCTGCTGGGCAAGTCTTCCTTTCTTTCATGGGATTTTCCTCTGACTTACTGAAAGAATTTTATTTTCCTGTTCTCCATCAGAAATGTTTTCATCTGATGCTGATTAATACAAAGATGATATGTGAACAATTTGAAAGGTTTTTTTTTTTAGTGCTTAACTAAGACTGTAATTTAGGAAAACATTGTTCAAGACTATTGGTTTTGATAATCAGGATATAACTCAGTGCCACGTGCACTGATTTATTTCCTGCTGTCTCACACAAGTTCCTGCAGAAATAAAACAGCTGCAGGGGCCTAGAAAATCTTTGGGGTTTTGCAAAACCTGCTTGTCTGTGGCTGATCATTCCTTGAGGCAGCAGCTTAAATGTAAGCTCCAAACTGTGGGATTTTCCTCAGGAACTGCAGAATGACTTAGACAGGGAGACGAGTACCTTGCAAGAGCTGGAGGCTCAGAAACAAGATGCCCAGGACAGGCTGGATGAGATGGACCAGCAGAAAGCCAAGCTGAAGGATATGCTCAGTGATGTCAGGCAGAAGTGCCAGGAAGAAACCCAGGTGGTGAGTGTGTGTTAATTCTGGACATGCCCAACGGTGCTTTTGTCTTCTGTTGAAGGAAATTCTATTTATTTAATGAAAAAACTCGCTTTCTCTGTTCGTTTTGACCGTAAATAGCAATTTCCACACAAATACAGGGGTCCAAGAAAGGGTTTTGCTCCCCTGAATACCTCTCATTGTGGTGGTTGAGGCAGATGATCTCCAAGGGGCCCTTTCTACAGAAATTGTTGTTTTTTTGAGAATGTAGAAAACATTTATTCGACCTAATAAGGCAGTTGAAAAGCCTCAGAGACAATCCATGGCAGTGGTGCAGGTTTTGAACCCCTGAAGGTCACCAGTGTTGAGTTAAAAGTGGGTTTTCAGGGAGATACAATTGCCAATGGAAATAGCAGGTTACCTTAAGGTAGAAACTCTGTAACACTGTGTGAGAAAGTGTTGAAGAAAGAAGTGTATAAGCAACTCTGTTAATTTAAACTCTTACCAAAAAATCAACTTCATGCTCCTTGATAAATGTTTGAATGGAAAAGGAACCAGGTTCTGAAAACCTGGTCTGAGAAACACCTGTTAATTGCCTGTGTAATTAATGTGGTATTTCTGTGATTTAAAATAGTATTTCTTGGTTTTATTGATTGTGCTCTTATCATGGATTTTGTGCAACATCAGAAGCAGCACAAATTTCTTCATGTTAAGTTCTAACTATTTTCCTTAGCAATTGCTAGGTTGCTGTACAACTTCCTGTTATTTATGTTATAAATTCGTAATTTAATAAGTTAACATTCATTTCAAATTTCACTTTTTTTTTCAGATTTCATCACTAAAAATGCAGATTCAATCTCAGGAATCAGATTTAAAATTACAGGAAGATGACCTTAACAGAGCAAAAGCAGAGCTGAATCGCCTGCAGCAGGAAGAGACTCAGCTAGAGCAGAGTATCCAGGCTGGAAAAGTGCAGCTTGAAACAATAATCAAATCTTTAAAATCAACACAGGAAGAAATAAACCAGGTATCCACTGTGGTTTATACAATTCTTGAAAGGCTGGGTTGAACATCACCTGGAAAGATTTATTTTTAGAAGAGAAAACAAGTGGTGGCTCATGGAATAAGCCCTTTTTTTTTTTTTTTGGCTGGTTTATTGCCAGTCTGAGTCAGGAAAAAATTCAGTTCTGGTGAGGGGGGAAATGCAACTGTCTGGCAACAGTGTTTAATGAGAATTTTCCTTCTCAGGCAAGAAGTAAACTTTCCCAACTGCAGGAGAGCCACCAGGAAGTCAACAAGAGCATAGAGGAATACAACGAAGCTCTCAATGGGATCCATGGGGGCAGCCTGACCAATTTAGCAGATATGAGTGAAGGCCTTGGACAGACAGAAAGGAGCAATTATGGAACTATGGTAAAAAAAAATTGCTGTTGCTTAGTGTATTTGGCAATAATTAAACTTGTGACTTGCACCTAATGTGAAATAGTTGGGTTTTGGTGCATCAGCAGAGCCCAGCAAGGCAGGGCAAGGCTTTGGTGCTGGTGGAAAAACTGATTTTTGAGCCTTTTGTTAGATCTTGTGCTGGGATTTTGTGCCTGTGTAACTGTAACAGTGTGGATGTGTAAGCAGACTGTGATTGTGGAACCAAAAAGAAAAGGTCCTTTTATTTTGTCACCTGTCACATGTTCAGTCTCAGGAGGGAGGTGGGACTTTATTTCCAGTTCAGGTGTTTTGTTTGTCCTTGCACATTGTCCAGTTCCCTTTAACCATCTATTTCCTTATTTCCTAAAGAAGCTCTACAAATTTCTCCTTTGCAGTGAGCTGTGTTTATCACATATTGTTCCCTTCCCAAAATACATGGATGGTTCTCTTCTGCTTCAATAATTCCAGCACCATTTATCTCATTTATTATGTTTTCTTTTAATCAGTATTTTTTCCAAATCATAAGATCCTTCAGGTTCTTAAAGATTTTTCCAGCCCATTTCTATTGGGTATCTATTGTTGATTTAGATATTAAATAATCCTCTAAATCACAAGATTTTTCATTCTTTTTAAAGCCTATTTCTTCTCTGAAATATAAAAGTTGCATAGTTGCTTGATTCTGCTTGCACACATACTTGGTGCTTCCTCATGAGGGAAACTTGTTTTCCAGAGCCCTTGTAAGCACAGTATTTGCTGTGGGTTTAGTATGAGGTTAAATATATGTCATGTATAGTAAATATTCAGCTTTCAACTTGGTCTGTAAAAACAAACTACTCAAAAGAAGATTAAAACCAACAATACATTGAAAAACGTGGCCTTAAAACACTTCACTGCTTAGTTTCTCTGTTTGCATGGCTTGCATAATATTATATTTAATTTCCACTGGAAACTTCCAGATGTTTCTCTTACTTGCAAAACCTACGAATCACTTACTGGAAGAAAACAACAGTGGATGTTCACAGTAATTTTTTTAAAACCATTGTGCCCCTTTCCTGTTTCTCAATTCTTTCTTCCTCTTCCTCCTCTCCCCAGCTCCCTCCCTGCTGTTCTGAGAAGTATTAATTAAGATGTTTTCCTTTGCACCTTGTAAAGGGATGAAAGAAGTGCTGTCTCTGGTGTTGGGGTTGGGTATTCCTTATTTTGGGATGGAATGGCTCTGGTTTTCCCTGGAAGTGCTGTACAGGGCAAACATGGCAAGGGCTGGTTTCATCAGAGACCCCCCAAAGCAGACCCAAACCAACCCAAATTAATGTCCTGAAGAGCTTTCAGAACTTGAGTTTGCTGCTTGTTCCTGCAGGAGATTTTTTGCAACTTGACAAAGTTACATTTGGGCTCTGGTGAGAAACTTCTCTGTCATCAAAATGTTGGGGTGACTCTTCCTACATGAAGGGCTTTGTCATGGGAAATCACTGCTTGGAGCTGTAAGAATGAGTTAACCAGAAGCTCAAGAATGAGTTAACAAGAAGCTCAAGAATGAGTTAACCAGAAGCTCAAGAATGAGTTAACAAGGAGCTCAAGAATGAGTGAACAAGAGCTCAAGAATGAGTTAAAAAGCTCAAGAATGAGTTAACAAGAGCTCAAGAATGAGTTAAAAAGTAGCTCAAGAATGAGTGAACAAGAGCTCAAGAATGAGTTAAAAAGCTCAAGAATGAGTTAACCAGAAGCTCAAGAACGAGTTAAAAAGTAGCTCAAGAATGAGTTAAAAAGAAACTCAAGAATGAGTTAAAAAGAAGCTCAATGAGTTAACCAGAAGCTCAGGAATGAGTTAAAAAGAAGCTCAGGAATGAGTTAACAAGCAGCTCAAGAATGAGTTAACCAGAAGCAATCTAGAGCATGACCACTCAGTAGTAATCCCTTGTATTTGTAGTCCACAAATAGTCCATAAAATCTTTTGAATAAGTGTCTCACCTGAAGCTGAGCTGCAAAATAATGTGGGGGAGGAATTTTTTTGCCAGTGCGATGGTTGGGGGTTGATTTGTTTTCATTCTTTAAGTGTCTGAGAATGGAATATTTTCATATGGGCAACAGTTTAACCTTTAATTGTCACATGCACTGTTAGCTTTTGAGGTTCTTTTTCCAGTGTGTAATGACTTCTACTTGGAAGTCATGGATTCTAAGAAACTTCTTCAGAAAGTAATTTTTGAGATTGTTGAACAGGAACTGAGGTACCCATTTAGAAGAAATTCTGTGCCAGCTGAGCGTTTTCATCCTGGTAGAGTTGCTGTGATGTTTTTCCTCTTCATTTTTAGGATGATCCATTTAAGAACAAAGCCCTGATGTTTACCAATAATACACAAGAATTGCACACAGACCCATTCCAGTCAGAAGATCCTTTCAAATCTGATCCATTTAAGGGAGCAGACCCCTTCAAAGGCAGTAAGTGACCTTAAAGATCTTCAAGGCCAATTGTTGAGTAAATGATGTTTTCACAAACTGTTATCATCGTGCTAAATAGTGGATAAAACTATTTTTTATAATATAATATAAATATATATAATATATAAATATATAATATATTATATAAAAGTATGTAATATATTATATATAAATATAAATATATAATATATTATAAAATATGTAATATATTATATACAAATATGTGATATATTATATACAAATATAATTATGTAAATATAAATATACTGTATTAATATATAACATATTATATATAAATATAAATATGTAATATATAAATGTATAACATATGATATATAAATATATGTAATATATAAATATATCACATGATATATAAATATAAATATATGTAATATATAAATATATAACACATTATCTATAAATATAAATATATAATACATAAATACATAACACATTATCTATAAATATAAATATATAATATATAAATACATAACACATTATCTATAAATATAAATATATAATATATAAATATATAACACATTATCTATAAATATAAATATATAATATATAAATACATAACACATTATGTGTAAATACAAATATATAATATATAAATATATAACACATTATCTATAAATATATATAATATATAATGGGTAAAATAATATATAAAATATTATATAACTATATATACTATATATGATATATTGTATATAAATAATACAATATATATAAAACTGTTTTCTAAAACTATTTTAATAAAGTTATTTTTCTGTTCTGCATAGGTGACCCTTTCCAGCATGATCCTTTTGCAGAGCAGCCACCTGCTCCAGCAGGTAAGAACCCTTTGGATGACAGGACACGTGTGGGAGAAACAATTTGTAGCCAAACACAAAGATTTCCCAGGTTTCTCCAACTTCAGGTTTTTGGGTTGCATGTGGGAACATAAAAACCTGGCAGGTTTGTGCCTTCAGGATCAGGATGTTAATGAGGAATGTGTAATTCAGACTTAGCAAATATCCTCTTTGGAGAGGGGAGTTTGAATCAGATTTACCAAATCACTGCGTGCTTCTGAAAAATCAGTGAGCACGAGGTGAAATCCAGAATGTTCTTCACAGACACATTGGGTGCTACATTCTGTATATTCTATTTACCTTTCCTTGCTCCTTTTAGATCCCTTTGGAGGCGATCCCTTTAAGGAGAGTGACCCATTTCGGAGTTCTGCCCCTGAGGATTTCTTCAAGAAGCCCGTGAAGAGCGACCCCTTTACCTCAGATCCATTCACAAAACCCCCTGCTTTACCCTCAAAGGTCAGGCATTTTTAAGTCTACACTTAATAGATTTCTTTACTATTGACAGGCTTCTTGTCTGAAAGCTAAAAGGAGTGAAATAACAGAAAATACTTTTCTCCTAACTGGTGAAATATCATTAATTTTACTCTTAAAATTTAAGTATGTGTTGTTGAGGCAATCAACAGTGTTCTCTCTGGTTCCATGGTAATGAGGTGCAGTAAGGTGGATATTTTTCCTCTCTGTTGGGAATTTCAAGCCACCATCACCCACTAATTCCCAGCATTCCCTCCATTCCATTGGTTTGTGCAGTCACACAGTGAATGGAATTGAGGAACTGCTCTGGTTAGAGAATTCCAGAACCCCCAGCAGACATTGGAGCCAGGACAGTGGAAGGACTGCACAGAACACAATTTTAAATCACAGTTACAATGATATATATATCTATATATAGATTTATATAGATAGATATAGATATAGTCAGAGTTCTGAACCTGTCTGGATGCACATGTGTGTGCTTGTTTGGAGGTGATAGATTTTTTTGGTTTATTTTTATTATTCTTTCCCTCCCTCTTATGCAGTTCTCTGACTGTTGCCACCCAAGAGTTAGGACACTGTTCCAGTTTCAGTGGGAGGGTAGTTTGTCTTGCAGGATAGGATTATTGTACTTGGATAAAAGTACAACTTGTCAAACTGAAGAGCAACTGTGAACACCATCTCTTTAAAAACAAGCAGTATGCAGACTCTGGATTAATAATAATGTAAATGCCTGGCTTGAGTATTGCTGTTGCTTAAAGACTGGACACTTCTGGATGTGTTTTCATCTTTTGCCCTGGTAACTAAGGTTGTATTTCAGTGGGATGCCCTTTTCACTTGTAGGTCCTTGGTGTTTTGTTCAAGGCTATCAATAGCCAGATTTCAGATAATCAGTTGATTTTATCCTACTCTACTTCCACCCAACAGAGTGATCTGAAATTGGAAATAATTGTGATTTTTTTTATATGCATAAAAAGGCAAGTGCACAGTACAGCAGAGCAATAATTATGTATATCTGTTCTTATTTAGCCTGACCCTTTTGAAAGCACTGATCCTTTTACGTCTTCCAGTATCTCTTCAAAAGGTCCAGGTAAGAAGAAAACATTTTCCTCATGCAGATGAATAAGGAGGTATCTTTTTATGAAAGAAGAATCAAATACAGGAGTTGAAAATAGAGAGTCTTGGGAACTGTTGGCAAAAAGCATCATGGTCCTGCTATGGATTATAAGACTAAGTCTTTGTGACACCAGATATTTCAGTTTTTTCTTCTTTTCTTTTTTTCCCCCTCCAAACAACTGGTACAAAACCTGTTGTCTTATGGAATTCTCTTGTAACATCTCATGGCAGTTCAAAATACAGGTGTGTTTTAGTCACCTGCCCAGTTTTGTACTTCATTGGCAGCACCAATTCTTTGTCATTCTTAAGTATTGTTCAAAATGACTTCTTTCTCCCTGTATCTGTTTCAGATCCATTTGGAACACTGGATCCATTTGGAAGTGGTGCTTTCAGTAGTGGGGAGGGATTTGCAGACTTCAGTCAGATGGCAAAGGTAAAGGTTACCAGGAAAGCAACTGTCCTTTTAAAAATGTATGTACAGATATTTGTTTGAAGTGTGTGATATGGTTGTAACTTTTCAGCTGACAACCCAGTTCTGTTCCTTTTTTTTCCAATCAGCCTCACCAGTTACTCAACAAAACATTTTCCATCCAAGTCAGATATGGCAAAGTCTTAAACCAAGACTGACAGATTCAGCAGGGAAAAATCAACTTTTCACAAACATTTTCACACAGCAGATGAGCAAAAGAAATTAAAAATTAAAATTAAAAAAAAAAAGAAAAAAGAAATTAACTCGTAGTGTTAACTGGTAAGAAGAGCATCCATCTATTCCATATACTCCCTCTAAGTCCTGGAATCTGCTTCTTGGTTACTTCATAGAATTATAGTATCCTGACTTGTTCCTAAACTTACCATAGAATCACTAAAGTTTGGAAAAGACCTCTAAGATCATCAAGTCCAACCATTAACCAAACACACTAAATATATGCAAAACTAACCTTAGTGCAAACTCACTCCACTCTTAACAGTCAGTCAGCCTTTCCCGGGTTTTAAGTGTGCAGTTTCTGTTCATTTTAAGTAGCAGATGAAGAGAAAGATTCAGGATGAACCTGAAACAAAAAAATGGATAATTAGAAATTGCTGTTACCTTCCTGAGGTGGAGTTTGGAATTTACAGTTTCCAGCAGTGCCCAGCTCCTTCTGCTAGTTCCCCAGTAATGCTTGGAAATTGTAGAGTTATGTAAATGTTAAAAATGAAATAGATTATCATATCACCTGGACTAATTACATTTCATGGGGTTTTTTCTAGCGTTTCATACTATTTTTGGGGAGGGTTTTAACTCTCCACTAGGTGGCAACAGCCTTTGCCAATATTGATGTGTCTGGCTTGAGGTAGAAATTTTAGCCAAGGTTTGACTACAGTTTTTACCTTTGCTCCCCAAATCCCTCTTTCTTCATTTCACAGTGATAAATTTCCCTGCATGGCATCATTTTTGTGCCATTCTCTAATGGGAGAGTCCTTCAGAAAAGCCAACTTGAATATAGGAAGCATTAAAAACATGCTTTTGGGATTTTCCCTGAGCTTTTGCCACAGCTGTGTGTAACTTCAGAAAAGCTTGGACTAAAGCTCCCCATTCTGTGGTGTTTTTCCAGGTTCTTCCACGATTCTGTTTATCAGAGTGGAGGTTAGACTGTGGTGTGACTGTTCACTGCCAAATAGTAAAAAAAAAAAGGAGAGTTTTACTTCCTTTTATTTTTTTCATCAGCTTTTTGCTGGGACTAAAAGTTCTAAAAGTAATTATGTGATGAGAGCATAAGTTATTTTGAACGTTAATGAAATCTTAGCACCTCTGTCACTGGCCTTTTACACCACTGATAGTTCTGGACATCTTAGTTTTTTGAAATTAATGCCTTTACTTGAGTTAACTTGCAGCTTCATGAAACCACAGGTTTGCCAGTGTGCTTACATCCTTTCTCTTTTCTTTTTTTCTCCTGTAGTCAGCAGCTCCTGACCCCTTTGCCTCCTCTTTTGGAGGGGTGGGATTTTCAGATGACCCTTTCAAAAGCAAATCAGACACACCAGCGTTGCCACCCAAGAAAAATGTCCCTCCACGGCCCAAGCCACCCAGTGGTAAGGAGGTTTTCTTCTTTTAACAGCCAGTTCCCCTAATTTTCAGTATATTAATGGATGTTGAGAGTCTTCCATCTCATTCTTTTATATTTCAACAACAGAGGAAGGTATGAGATTATCAGCAAATTGGCAAAATTGTCATTAAACCAGACTGGAACTCTTCAGACTGGAAAACAGATGATGAGGGAGTGGTGTGACAGATCTGTAAAATCACTTGTGGCAAGGAAAAATAGTGGAGAAAAAAATTTCTATCTATTCTAAATAGGCAACACATGAGATTAGTAAACGGCACCTTCAAAGTAAAGAGGTTTACTTTTATACAATAATCTAAATTCAAGGTTTATTTCTGTGTTTGCCAGAGAATATGGTGAATGCAAAAAATTTTAAGTGGGCTTTAAAAAACCCCTAGATAATTCTTGAAAGAAACAGGGGCAACAGGGTGTCCCAAAAGCCAAAATACTCTCTCTGGCTCCTGTGCAGCTGAGTGTCTGCAAGGCAGTCTGACTTATGGCTGCACCTTTCCCTTGTTTGGATGTTCTTCTTGAGGCATCTGCCACTAGTTACTGACACAGAGTACAAGGCCAGACAGGCCTGTCCTGATCTGTCTGTCCAGGTGTGATCATTCTTGCATTCACATATTAAAAACAAACATAAAACACTTTCTGAATATATGGCTTGTTCCTGCATCAAGTCCATTATGTATGGAAATTCTGGGAGGTGTATAAATCTCCTGAATTGAAAATAAGATCTCTCTTAATGGAGCTTCTACTTCTACTATTTTATTTTTTTTTACCCTCCCCGGAGTTGTTTTCAAAATATTCAGCTACCAGTGAAACTGTTTAAAGAACTGAAGCCACTTAGAACTCTTAGTTTCGAGTCTCCTTTTAACAACAGTTGTAGAGCTCGGTTGATACTGGGAGGGAACATTCAGTTGGCTCAAAAAAACCCCAACAAAACAACAAAAACTGGGTTCTGCTGATGAATAGGCACAGAATTTTACACTGAACACGAGTCCACATCTTGTATCCTTGATATCCACTGACAGTGTTAGGAAGCACAGAGGGAGCAGATCCATGGGTGGCTCTCTGGGTGTGTGGATTATCTGCCTTTCTGCTGGTGCATTTTGGAGCAGAGTGTGCAGCCTGCATCCTGTTTGTAGCAGGCATTGCAGATCTGGCTGGGTTTGCAAACCAGTTATTCTAAAACAAGCTCCTTGCATCAGGTGAAAAGTTCTTTCTATTACCAAAGTGTGCTGAAAATGTCCTTGCTTAGCCCACAGATTGATCCCAGGTTTGAAAGGTATTATTTCACACAGTAGACAGAGCATTGTTTGTTCCTATCCCTCTGATTTTATTGCTTAAGAGATGATGGTGCACACTAGAACCCTGAAATCAAATGGTGAGGTTCTGTGTAGGTGAGTATTGATGCAAATCTGTCAGGAAATGCTCTAGGATTGTGGAAAAGCTCCTGAGGCAGTTTGTTCCATACTTGCTTTCTGTGAGTATTTACCACTATTGAGCTACTAGAGAGTCTTCAGTAATTAAAAAAACCCCACATAATAATATGTTATACTGACAAATATCAACCACTAGGACAGGCATGAATAAAAGCAGAAATAGAAAAGCTGAAGGGAATCTTATTGTGAATTATGTTATTTTTCTTTATTTGGTTTTCAAGGAAAGTATGCTAAGTGGCCATCTTTAAAAAAAAAAAAGTCCACATAAAATATTTTAGTGTTTAAAGGGACTAGATGAAGTTGAATGAGTCAAACAAATACTAAATATACCTGTATTACCTCTTATATGTGGTTTCTTTTTATTCCTTGTTTGAAACATGATTATTCTTAGCAGATGCAGTGTAATAGTAGCAGTAAAGGTGAGGACTGACTCACCTCCGTGAGGGTTTTTTGTATTTGTGTCTCCTCATTCCCTCTTTTGCACAAATCGAGGAATTTGCTGAACATTTGGCTTTATTGATTTGGTTTTAACTTAGACGTGTGCACTCAGCCTTTAATCAGTCTGTTAAAAACTGTTTCAGTGTGTCCCTTCCCCTCACAATATTTGTGAGGTTCAGCCCCTCGACCAAAAGCAAATGTTGTTATGATAAAATAGACTGAGGAGGAAACAAAGCAGGGGGTTTTTTTTAAAGCAAATGAGCCTCATGTGCTTATGCACTTCTACTCCTCCCTTCCTTCCACAACTAAGACAATCTTCAGTGGTTACTTAAAGCATGAGAAATTATATAGTAATATAGTGTGATTGTAGCAAGAGATACAGGCCTGAAGTGTGTGTCAGAAATGGGAACACTGCTCAGCAAACAAACAACAGGCGAGAAACTTCCGCTGTTTCTTACCTTTCTCATTGGTCTGTTTAATTAAAAAAACAAGTAGGTGATAAAGATCTTGCTGAAGGGTGAATAAATGCTAGTTGTTACCAGACAAACCTGTAATTTGCCTTTCTGTTCCCAGTTTGTGCTCTTTTTAGTAAAACTGTTCTTTCTGTTGGGGGGGATTTTTGATATTGAAAAGCACTTTTGTGGTTTGCCTGCACTGTGGTTGGCAGGTCCAAGGAGCTCTAATAGAAAGCTTTGCTTGCCCTCAAACCTCTGCAGTCAAGTAGAAAACATAAATACTTTTGCAGAGCGTTGAAAACTGATTTCCCAGGTGGTTGTGGTGATTTCCCAGGTAGTTGTGGATAGGGGAGACTAACAGGATCCTCCAGAGATTGTTCCCAATACGGTGCTTTTCTGAATGCAAAGCTTTTGAGGGGTTCTGTGACATGCAAACGTTGTCTTATAGTCCATTGAGGGGTTGCAGGGTGTCCTGGACCAAAGTGTGCCACAGTTTCTGTCTTGCCCATGGATCTGTGTTTTGTTCAGATGAGAGGGAGTTGGGCATCAGGTCTCGTTCCTTCACAAAAACAAAGACAGAGCAAACCCCTGGAGCTGAACACAGGACCAGGGAAACACTTAGAATCATGGAATGTCCTGGGATGGAAGTGACCCACGAGGACTATCCAACCCAACCCCTGGTCCTGCCCAGGACACCCCAACAATCCCACCCTGTCCCTCAGAGCGTTGTCCAAACGCTCCTGGAGCTCTGGCAGCCTTGGGGCCGTGCCCACTGCCCTGGGGAGCCTGGGCAGTGCCCCAGCACCCTCTGGGGGAAGAACCTTTCCCTGAGATCCATCCCAACCCCCCTGGCACAGCTCCAGCCCTTCCCTGGGTCCTGTCCCTGGTCCCAGAGCAGAGCTCAGTCCCTGCCCCTCCGCCTCCCCTCGGCAGGAGCTGCAGCCCCCGAGGAGTCTCCCCTCAGTCTCCTCTGCTCCAGCTGAACAAACCAAGTGCTCTCAGCTGCTCCTCAGACCTTTCCCCATCCCTGTGTCCCTCCTTTGGACACTCTCCAACCCCAGGACTCGAGGTGAGGCCACCCCAGGTCAGAGCAGGGCGGGACAATCCCCTCCCTGGCCTGGCCAGTGATGCTGGACCTGATGCCCCCAGGACACGGTGGCCCTTTGGGCTGCCAGGACACACTGGTGACTCAGATCCAACTTGTCATCCACCAGGACCCCCAGATCCTTTTCCACAGCAGTGGCTGCTCTCCAGCCTCTCATTCCCCAGTCTGTCTGTGCATCCAGGGCTGCCCCGTCCCAGGGGCAGAATCCAGCACTTGCGCACGTTAAACTTCCCATGGCTGGGGATTACCCAGCCCTCAGGTTTGTCAACATCTCTCTGAACAACATCTCTGCCTTCGAGGGATTCAACAGCTCCTCCCAACTTAGTGTCGTCACCAAACTCACTCAATCTGCCTTCCAGTCCCACATCCAAGCCCTTTCTGAAAGAGTTGTAGAGCACTGGCCCTGAAACGGAGCCTTTCGGACACAGCCTCTGTTACCATTTAGAGATGGTCAGAGCAAAAAAGCCTCTAAAAGGAGTTTGTAGTTCAAGGCAGCTGCTCTCCTATCCAGGCTCTGGAGATGATCTTCATACAGCACTTAAAGGAACTTCTGTGCTGCTGCCAGCGTTGGCAGTGGGTCATCATGTCTGGCCTTGCACAGCCTGACCTGGTCACTGGCTGCTTGTAAAGTGAAAATGGGTCGGTTGTTTTGGTTGGTTGGTTTGTTTTTAGTTGGTGTTCGGGTTTTTTCACAGCTGGAACTCTGAGGAGAAGCTGTGACCTGCGTGTCTCAGCAGATAGTTCAGTTCACACTGTCTGTGGTTGGTACTATCAGGCAGGGATAGGCAAACCCTTGCTGTGTGGCATGGATTAGACACCCTTCAGATCCATATCTTTCCATTCTTGAATACTAAGATTAAGAGAGGGGATGACAATCATGAGATTATTTCCTTGTATCTTGTGTAGAATCTCAGGCTTATGATTGTTCTGTTCATCATAAATCATTTTCCTTCTTTCTCACTCCACTTTGAACCGAAGTCTTGCAAGATCTTTTATCTGTTAATCTGATCCTTGCTTGGTCCAAGAGAAATGTCACGTTTGCTTTTCAAGTTAAATGCTCTGTTGTGGGTTTTTTCAATATAACTATTCAGAGGTTAAGAGCAGAATCTTTAAAGACAATTAGAGGAAGGTTAATAACTCCATGAATCCAAACAGAGAATGGCAAGGAGAAGGTTACAAAGTGTGCCACAGAAGCAGCAAGCCTGGATACCTGTGTACATCACAGCTCCAACTTATTGTCACATGGAAAGGTTTGAAAAATCCTACTCTCTGTCCCTTATCTGGTTTAAGATTCTCTTTTGAGGTTGAGGAAGATCAGCTAAGAAGGATCTCTTTAGCTCTTTGGACTGGACTGTTCTAAAGAAAATCCCCAAGGCAGTGTGTGCATGTTGTGCTCTTCAGGGACGGGTCCGTATCCATGAAGTTCCTGATGGATATGAGGTTTCCTAGGGCTCTCCTGGGACTTGGCTGGAGTAATTACATGTTCACCTGGTGGTACTGGAGATCTTGGAGGTTTCTTTGGAGAGGAGTGGAAGGATTTCTATAT